GCAGCAGGAAGGAAAAAAAAGCCCTCGGCAGCAGCAAAGCCTCTGACCGGCAATGCCCTTGCAGCTCCAACATGTCCCACTCTCCCTCCTGCAAAACAAGTCGAAATACTAACGGGGGCCAAGGCTCCCGCTGTCAGCCACAATCACCAGAGCTGCTCACAAACGCTTTTTGCCATCGCTGCCTACAGCCACAAGGATGCTAAAAGGCTGCGGGCAGGGGTCCCCAGCACCCAAGGGACCACCGAACCCCAGCGGGGCCAGAACCCCTCCGGGACGCGACCCGCTGCCTCCCGATGCTCTCTTGGCAGCCGTGCCCCGGCACAAACAGAGCCCGGCCCCCACCCAAAGGGAAACGCTTTTCAAGGGTCTCAAACTTTTTTTTGCATCCTCAGAGCGGGGTGGCAGCCCCCACAGATGCCGCTGTTTAATCCTTTCTAGATCAGTGGGGAAAGGTGGGGAGCACCGACAAACCCAATTACCGCCGGCACGGCATAGCACTGCCAGCCCCGAGACCTGCCACCGCATGTACCGCTGCCACGGTGCAGAGGAAACGGCTCCTGAAGCTCCACAAACAACCCATCCTTGGGGACTTTTATTTCAAGGTTCCTGACTGTTAAAGTAAATGAGCTTCACATTAAAGACCAGCTACACATCAAGCCAATGCAAACCCACTGCTGCTAGGACAGCGCGCGTCTGCAGAGGCAATCGCTTACTCCCAGACACAACCATCATATGCTAAGCGACACCGCCAGCGACACGTTTACCTCCGTACTTTATCTTTTATCAACCGATGCTTTGCCTTCCCATCAAGAAAAGTCACTCCCAGGTGGAGCAGCAGCGATATCTCCGCGATGCTGACACCTCGTAAAGGCTCCCGGGGGAAACGCCGGCGGCCTCGTCACCGGAGGCACTTCAAACCAGCCCAGACAAAGTCCCGCTGGATGCACTGCAGGCAACAGTTTGGCTCTGGAAACTCCAGACTTGGGCAGGAATTTAATTTATTAAATCATCATCACCTGGAGGTGTACCAATAGCACCCTTTATAAGCATGTCATCACACCAATAGCACCTGCTAGGGCAGCGATGGGCTACGGTGGGTACAAGGCTGCGATGCTCCTCCGCGGAAGCATCTTTTATGGAGTCCCTGTGTCACCCTGTGTGCTGGGACAGGGCTGTCACTGCTCACTGCTGAGCCTCCTCACCCTCAGGATTTTTAGGAGCCAGTTGAACCCACACTGCCAGCGGGATAACTTCCCTTGCAACAGCTGGAAGCATTACACAGAGGCTCTCTGCCAAAAAAAAGAAAAGTTCCCACCCCAAACCAAACTTCCAAGCAGCTTCCAGTTGGGATTTCTCCTCCCCGTGCCCTGGCCCTGCCCTTTTGTCCAAAAGCATCCCCAGGGAGCCAGCCAGGACATGCTGCTCTCCCCGAGAGCACCCACCCGAGAGCTGCTGGTCCCTCAGCAGGACTGGAGAGCCGCCAGCTGCCCTCCCGCGCTCGCGGGGCTGCTGGGGGGCACGTTTTAAGCTGACGAAAGACAAATTTATTTCTCCAGGCGAGGTACCAGCTCTTGGCGACACATCCTACCTGCGCAAGTGATGGGGAAATGGTGATGGGGTGAGCTGGAGGCACGGGGAGAAGCAACAAGCGTCCCGGCTCCCTCACACGAGGGTGCATAAGGCAGTGGGTGTCTTTGGGGAGCTCATCCCGCTGGATCCCAGGCTAACTGCTGTCTCAGGGAGGAACGTGGGCAGGACTGCCTTCTGCCTGCAGCTGCCTGTTAACTTCATCAGCTGAGCCGTGATGTTCCCGATGGTCTTTCCCTCCTCCCCAGCACCGCAGACCTCCCGCTGCTGGTGCGCACTTCTGGCTAATGCCGACGTGTGATGGATTTTATGACTGAATTTTGTGTGTGGCAGTGAATCACAGGCTGACAGGGTGCTCCTTAGCAAGGCACCAGCCAGAAATGCGCCCGAGACTCCTCTCCAAATGCCACAGCTCCAGGAAGGCAAGAATTCCTCAGGGATCGTTACCCCCAGCATCCCAACAGCTTTGGTCACCCACAACCCTGGGATGCGTCCCCCAGGCAGCTGGGCACCCTGAGCCCCAGCTGGTACTCCGCAAAGAGCACAGGCAAATCTGAGCATCGATGGGGATCCCCAATACTCGAAGGGTGGTGTTTCCCACCCCCAGCCTGCCCGGGCACAGCACAAGGAGCAGGCGGCTTCAGTAGCAGCTCTTCTGCCTTACTTGACCAGAGACAGGCTTATCCCAAACTGCTCCCATCCGGACTCGGATGCGAAGTCCCTGCCTGGCCTCATTGGGGCATTTGGGAGCAGCAGAACCCGCTCAGCTCTATGGCTCGATACATGCAAGTAGAATATAGGAATGCTTATATCCAGGTCATTCCCATTCAGCTACTGCTAAGAAACTCTATCACAGCTTTTAAACCGACACCAGAAGTTAAATCGAGCTTTAATTCTCGGGACCAGCGCCCGGTTGCCCCCGCCATACCCTCCCGAAGGCAGGCGGGCTCCCGGCCCCGCGGCCACAGGCGGCTGCACTGGGCCGTGCTGGTGCACCCCTGCAGAAGTTGCCTCCTCGCAGGGTCTCAGCGGTAACATTGGCAAGGCAACGCCGTGCGGCGAGGAGCCTGCGCGCGCCAGGGCTGGAGGGGCTCGAAACGCAGCTGGGCAGAAGGCGGCCAAGCGCCCACGATCCGTCACGGAGATCCCGACAACCCCCTCCCGACCGTCTGGTCATTAAAAGCTGCGCCTCTGCTTTGAGCGACCGGCATTTGGGCTGGGAGCACCCCAAAACTGGGCCGACACCGGTACGTGACCTCTCGGGAGCTGGTTCTGTAGCCTTAGCGGAGGTTAAACACCAGGGTTCAACGAGCGTTTTGCCAGTACAAACGCTGCAGGATCAGGCCCGCTGGCACCAGCCCTCTCCAGCAGCCCTGCAGACTCTTGCAGAGGGCCGTAGCTCAAGTATAAATCTGTAGCAGCTCCACTCTCTTCAGCAGCATCATTTTGCATTTACACCAGCACACTGAACGCAAAACAGAGCAAGCCATAAATATTCTAGCTGCTTTTTCAGCTTTGTTATTCTCTTCAAAGCAGGAAACATGACAAACCTTTGATTGTTTTGCTTAATACCAAACAATAATTCAAAGAGAGACAAACAAGCAACATTAAATGATGCCTGTGATGTACAGGAAAGCCGATGAATTAAAAGAACCTGATGAGGATGGTGTGGATCGGAGCGACCCCTTTCCCCGCCTTCAGCAGGTACCGCGCATCCCTCCCACGCCGGCCGGCACGCGCCAGTCCTGCACGGCGAGGGGACAGCACGGGGCCAGGCATGCAAGCGGTGACACCCGGGCATCCCACGCTGTTTCCATCACCAGCAAAACCCGCTGCCCCCAGAGCAACAGCCACCAACACCACTTTCAACAACCTTTTAAAAAACTCCTTTGAAGGCAACGAGTGTCTCTTCCCTGGAGCATCACCACACTCAAAATCCACTGGCAAAGCAGCCACCTCCAGCCCCCCGGCACCACCGAGGCAGCCTGGCCTGGC